TTTTTTTTTTTCTTCATTAAGGTGTTTTTTTTTTACTAGTACCAGAGTGTTTCAACTAAGACTGATAACAGTGGAATGTTTTTCTCACTGCTGCGTGTTCAAGGTCACATCTTTGCCCTGCTGGCTCAGACACTACAGGGAGATCTGAGGCTGAGTTAGACAGCAAATTGGCCAGAGATACTCAATTCCATTCCATATGTAAGCTCAGAGGAAGGTCAGAGATCACAGAAGACAACTTCCTTCCTGCTTCTTCTTCCTTTCTCTTCCGTCCATGGCCGGCGTCCGGGAAGGACTCCATCCATCCATCACTACCAACCCCCAGGCTGGAGCTCTCCTGACCCTTATCACTCTGCACTTTCTCTGGCAGCTCCAGGATTTTTTCAGGGCTGTTCACAGCTCAGGAGATGCTGGGGGGAGGCAAGAGGCTTTTGCACATACCTGAACATATTTGTATATAATTGTAGATATTTTCTGTTGTCTTACTGTTTAATTAAAGAGCTGGAGCTCTCCTGACCCTTATCACTCTGCACTTTCTCTGGCAGCTCCAGGATTTTTTCAGGGCTGTTCACAGCTCAGGAGATGCTGGGGGGAGGCAAGAGGCTTTTGCACATACCTGAACATATTTGTATATAATTGTAGATATTTTCTGTTGTCTTACTGTTTAATTAAAGCTGTGTAGTTCAGTTTTCAGTCCTGGATGGGAGGGGATCAAGAGCGTTGTTGTCGAACTCGAGTCAAACGGTGACACAGTGTTTAGTAGTGTAATAGCAAATACATACCAATGCATAAAACATATGTAATTCACACCAGAGCTGCATGAAATCTAAGAGTTGTTCCAGCTCTTATGGTATACAAAAGCCAAAGCACCAGGGAGACATCACCATATTGTTCCAGTCCCTTCTGCAAACTCTTCCTGAGCAGTTTGATAGTGGTCTTATTTTATAATCTTCCTAGAGTTGCATCCCAGTGCACTCCAGCTTGCAGGTCCTATATCTAAGGATTTTTCTAGATGAAATTTTAAAGCTGTCCTAAGCACCTGGGGCTCCTGTACATACAGAAGTGTCAGATAAACATTATGTAGACCGCTTGCTAACTTATTGGAACAAAACCCAAACCAAAACAACAGAAGCACAGCCACACACATGTAAAGACAGAATGGGGAATTCCACAGCAGTAAGTCCTCTGACACTGCAAGTTTTCCTCTGAGATAGAAATCAATGTTCCTCCTCCCTGTTAATAAAAAAACATTGCACATTCCTAGTTTCCTGAAGTCTTAAACACTAACCAAAGGCCATATATGTGACACTGGAAAGAATAGTTTCAGCTTCCTCAACAAACTTTTAACTTCAAAGGGGCCCTACACTACAGCTGCATTACAGAATCATAAAAGGTTTCCCATTGGGAAATCATTTGCAAAGTTGTGTCTGGGAGAAAATAAATCTTTAACCTGCCCAAATGACAGAGGCACTCTGAAGTAGTAACCTTAGAGCTGTACTTTGGGGAAGAGAGAGTCTCACTTCCAGCAGACACTTGAGGTCAGACCAGAGAGGGAGCACAAGATGAGCAACATGCAAGCAGTCACTTGTGGTTTATGCAACAACAAAATAACTGTTGTTTGTAATAGATGCACATAAAAAGAACTCACTGGAAATTACTTTTAATGTAAGCAAAACAAAACTGCTTATGATTTGTATGGTATGAGTGTGACAGATTAATCTGAACAGCTTTTTTTTCCATATCTCTTAAAATAAGCATTCAGTAAGTAATTCACATTACATGAGTCATCTTTGGTAATAGTGTACATTTGTGTCAATCACTGAGTAAACACCAGGTCTCGATTTTTAGAATGTAATTAATCATAACTACAAACTATTTTGAAACTGCAGAAACATCTTCCAACTGTACATCAGCTTGCAAAGGGAAGAGTTCAGACTAGCAATACCAAAATTACTTCCTAGAGTTATGTAGCAAAAGTTACAATTCTTTGTCACATAGCATTACACTAGTTTGTCACTCAGTCTGTAGTTGAAATGGGCTTGTAGTCAGCATGATTATAAATTAACAGCAAAGCAGCTCCCAAAGCAATTTAAGGGAGTAGGTTTGAAAGCTAAGAACTTTGATTAAAGCATCATTTTCCAACTTTGTTTTCTAATTCTAAGTTATTAAAATACAGAAGAGGTCGTAATTATTTTAAAAAGGTGCATTATTTAGAAAAGAAGTATCATTCCTTACAATACTATTTTAAACTAACACAGAAGAACAAAACAATGCTACATAAATACAGTCAAGAGCATTCAGATGGTAGGATGAAGATACAACCTTATGTCCTCTGTTTCATGGCCCAATCACGGCTTTTTCCTTGCTTTGATATGCATTTGATGGTCACTGAACTTTTCCCACTTATCCTGAAGTGGATTGTCCCCACATACTGTGTTAGCACTTGAGAGTCAGCATTTATTTACAACTGAAGAACAGCACAGCCATCCTCCATCCTACATCTATGCTCACTCCACTGCAGTACTGGAACGAGCACAACAGCTTGGATGTCTCAGGGAATGCATCATTGTTCTGAATGGCCTTTTCTTCCCCATTTTACTAGAAGATGACTCCTCATTACTTTTCTCAACCAGCTGAGCTGGCTCTGTCTGGAATTGTTCTATTTGAATTTCAAGATGTTTTTGAATGGCTAGCCCAAGGACTTCTGGATCCACTGATGCCCCATACACTTCCCATGTCATTCCTTCATTATCCCATCTCACTTCATGTACTGGAGATTTGCGGGCCCCCAAGTCTTGCTCCAGGTTGACTTCTGGGAACACATGTGAGTGGCCTTCTGCTGCAGCTGCCGGGCTTGTTGCCACAGATTTGCATTCCACAATTGGAAGAGTTTGTACCTCAGCATCTCTACGCTCAAGGGCTGGTTTCAGTCCTTTGGTTAAATCATTCATAGAGGTCATAGTCCACATATCCTTCATCATCATTACCATGTCTGCACCTTGCTGGCTACTAAAGGCAACACAGGCAGCCTTTGTTTCTGTGGGAACTCTCTCCTGCTGAGCACAGTGTTGAGCATGTTGCAGTTGTTCTTTGGGAATGCTACAGCACTTTAGGACTCTTTTGGCATCCAGGCCTGATTCACTTACTGAAGACACCAGCTTAGGATATGTCAGAATGTCTGAAGTAGAAAAGGAATGAAGGTAGCCAGATGCTGCCTGCTCTTTTCCTGACTCACTAACTGAGCATACCAACTGTGGAACAAGTTGTAGAGATGGTATGGGCAAAGAATGGCAATAGGCAGGGATGGTGGCATCTGCTTTCATACAATGGTCTTGCCTTATATCACAGGGCCCAGCAGAATCATTATGAACTGTCATCATCATGGGGGAGTATGCAGAGTTTGGAATATTACTGCAAATCAGACCACCATGAATAATCCCAGTGGCTTGACTGAACACTGTCCTGTTTGAGAAAACATTTCCAGGTATGTGGGATCCTAGAACAGCAGTGTGGAATGTTCCAGGATCTGTGTAAACAGTGCTATTACGGGCAATGCCACCACTGTTGAAGCTATTTGTGGGTATCTTTTGGTCTCTAGGTAGAACTGGAAGATGAGTCACAAGGTTTTGATAGTGAGATGTATTTTCATTTATTTCTGGTCCATATCTCTGTGTTTGGAAACACATGTCAGCCACTGATGGACCATGCCTGCAGCTAGGAGAGCTGGAGTGAGTAGCACTGGTTTCTATGCGAGTGATGTAAGTCCGCTGTTTGCAACTGCAAGCTAGGTCTGAGTGGCTTCTCTGAAGGGTCATTCCTGGTTCTTTCATCTCACTCATGCTTTGTTGATATGCCATGCAAGAAACATTCTCAACAGTGCTGCTCTTTACACACATCATAGTGTCCCCCACTTCCCAGGATGGTGGGGACTGTTCAGCAACAGGAAAATGGTTTGCAGTCTTAGTTCTGCCTGGTGAATTGTCATCGGCTGACTGATTGCTTACATTTTGAACCACTGATTCAAGTCCCATCATCCTAGGCTGTGAGCAGGACCATTCAGGACTCAGCACACTCCTAGCATCACTCTGGTTTTCTGTGATGTGGCAGATGGCACTACTGTGGCTTTTCTTCAGCTCCTTTTTGCAGCTTTGCCTTTCTGCTAAATTCGATTGCCCCATACAGGCCAGGCTTGAGGAGCTCTTTGACAGGGGGTGACTGTTGATGTCCAACAGGCCATCACAAGTAGAACTTAGTGTGTCTTGGTAGGAATGAGTGTGAAGTTGGTGGTGGTCAGCTGACATGGCAAAACAGAGAGATCTGCAAGAAATAGTGGGGGGGGAAAAGCAAACTGAGAAGGAAATACATGTAGCAGAAACTATAATCTCTATTCATCTTCTGCCTGGGCTTCTTGCTTTTTACAGTTCACAAATACTTTTTAAGAAGCACTATACTGTCATCTCTGTGTACTCAGACTGGCCAGTTTCCATCTTCAGTTTCCTCAAAGGGCTTTACCCTGAATTAGATTCAGAATTTATTGAAATACCATTTCATAAAACAAAGGGAAAAAAATATTCTTGGTTTCTACCTTTTAATAATAGCAATCTCAACATTGCCAAGTATCATCTCCCCTGAATTCACTGGAGCCATTGTTGGGATATCCAGAGATGTCATGTAACTTAAGCAAAAATAGAAGCACTTGTAAACAAGGTAGCTTTTCACCACAGTGTTCATTAAGCCAATGATGTTAACTGTATTGTCAAAACAAAAATCTGTTTGGGTTTTAGTCTCTCAGCACTGCCATTTTGGAAGTTATCCACTCACCGCTGCAGCTTTCAAACATTAACAAAGCCTCAACAACAGAACAAGTTCTCTTTTCCCCCTACCCTTCCTAACAAGCTTCCTTTTATTTCATTTCACCACAATCATCATTATTTTTGTGAACTGTTTCCCCAGAGTCCACACAAGTATCTAGTACATGTGGACAAAACTGCTTTCATCACCTGTGGCAGAGGACACATGACATAAGACCCAAGGAAATGAGCTCTATGAGGCCTGTGTGGAGTCCCAGAACAAATAATGCTGGGCAGCATGGGGCAAAAATACCTGGCTGACCCATGATGGGCTTTTCTAGCTTGTGCTTGCCACTGGCATGGTAGGAGGAAGAAGCAAAGAGGGATCCAGTGAAGGGCTAGAGGTGAAGCTCCCCTAAGAACCACTGAGCTGGATGGAAATTCTGCATCTCAACACAGGGGTCATTAGTGGAATGTGCTTCAGTGCATGGTTTGGGCTTCTTGTGCCAATCACCCTTGGGAATCCACAAGTTCACACTGGCTGTGGAAGGTATACACTCACTGCACGAGAAGCAGGGTAAAAACATACAAAGAAAATCTTTAATCAAAGTATTGTGGTTCTTCTGTCCCTTTTTTGGTGTACTCAGTCAATTCTATTGTTAGAAAACACTTGTTTCTACCAGTTGGGACAGTATGCTGTATGTTTGTAACATTTATATTAGCACTTCTACATCTAAGAGAAGGTATAATTGAAAATTTTCAATCTAAATAGGTTAGTGATCAGTTTTTTTTTACTGAATCAGATCATCCACATACATTCCCTTGGTGTCACAGAAATCTTTCAATATTTGTATAACCAGGTTATTTTAATGTGGTTAAATATATATACCTACATATAAATATATCTCTTTCCTAAAAGAACTGATTCTGACAAACAGAAAAATCTAGAGCATTTATTAATTGCTTCCAGGTCAAGTACTACTGGGTATTTTGTTGTGCACAAGTATAGTGGAAGCCACAGGTTCTTGTTTTAGAGAACTTACTCTCAGGTGCACTCTATATACTCTGCCTCTCTAGCAGGACCCCTGCAGAAACCTTCACAATTTCTTGTGAACTGTATTGCTGAAATAAAAATTAATGTGTGGACCAAGAAAGGTACATACACGTGGTGAACAAAAGCAGGCTGTAAGTGTAACAGGGAAGTTCATTTGTAACACCAAGAGACCAGTGACTGCAAGGGCTCACATTCAAACCTCTCTGTGAGAAGCTTTTAATATGTGATCCTTTTAATATGATATCTACAGACTCAAAGAACCATTTACCAACATAGCTGATAAAGAGGATGCCTTTTGCTCCATTCACAACTAAGAGTTCTACTGCTGATCCAGACAGCTATCAGTGCTTACATTTTTGTTGTTAACTTTGGCAAGCTAATAGTTTAGGTTGCAATTTTCTCAACACCCAAAATCCACTTGCATTGGCTGCTTTCCATAATTAAATTAAACTGAGCAATACAACAGTAAAAATAACTATATTTATAATCATTTCTTTGAGAAGCTTCGCATTGTGGGCTATGTTGTAAGGACTTGTGAGTGGCAGCAACATATTCTATCATTAGGATTCACTGAAATTTGGACTCTATGCAGAAAAAAGGCGGTTTCCCCTCCTTCATATGTGCTTGGTTCAGTTAGAAGTTAAACTCATTGCAGAGTCCATCTGCACCAAGCCTGCACTTTACACTACACTGCCTCTCTGACCTGTGAGATTCCACTGGCTGGTGGCATCTAAGAGCAACACAAAAGCATATTTTCTTCCAAAAACACTATTTCAGATTCCTGGGTTAAAGGCACTGCTGAATGCAGCTGCAGTCTTGCCAGGCTGGCCATCAATGTATTTCTGCATGTTTTTCAAAAGCCCTCACAAAATCTCACCTGACCCTTAGAAGGAAGAACTAAAGTCACAGTTTTGAAACACTTCACTCATTTCCTCCAGCATGTGATCTATCCTGCAGCCACTTACAAATAAGGGTATATTCTGCCAGAGTTCAAAGGAGTCAACAGGATTAAACGCCAAAGCATAGGTGTCTGCAAGGTGAAGACCTTACATTTAATCTCTTTAGAAGATAACACCTGCAAAGGTTCTCACACACACTGGGATGAAGCAACATTTACTAATGGAAATCCCCAGTCACAAATACTGAGTCTCAGGTGAAATGGAGCTTCAAGCATATCCTGTTACAGATGATACAAGGCTGTGAGAACTTTGAAGAGCTCTCTCACAAAGTTTACAAGGTTCAAATATGTATATACACACAGATACTGAGATCTTTATTTGTTTTCTTTACATAGCATTAATGCAGAAACCTTTGTACCTTGGAGAAGTGATGCAAATTTGAGATTGATTCTTCACCTGAATGTGAAGGAACACATTCAGATGAATGAAATGGTTCACGTATATTGACATCACTGAAAACAATATCCAGTGTGATGTCTGCAATGAAACCTTCAAAGAGAACTCTGCAGAGATCTATTTTTGCCCCCCACATAGACTCCAACTGCAGCTGAAATCAAACATGGGCCAGTGCTACATATATTACACACATACAAATACTTTGCAGCATTATAACCAGCAACTATCAACAGCATTTGAACATCTTTGCTCAGGTAGACCAGCATTCCATGCTAGCACAATTGTAACAATTATCCTGTTCCTTTGGGATTAAAAACAATGGGAACAATTACCCAACAAGTAAAAAGCATCTCACCCGATATTTTGGACAGTTTAGGATGGGAAAAAAGGGTAAAAAAGAAGCTAAACCCCCATTCAAACAAAATGAATCCACTGCCTTCAAAATAAAGCACTTTCCTATTGTGTTGAAATCGAAAGTTCATTTTCCCAGACAGCCTGAAGATTTCCCCATTTATTGTTTTGCCCCACCATTCCCTGCTCCTTTTCCCCACTCCTGGAAGACCTACGAGCCCTTACACAACCAGCACGTTTTGCTCACCTGGCAGAAGCTGGGCCCTGAGCCAGACTTGTGCACGTGGAGCTCTGCATGGAGGGTGACAGCTGCCAAACAAATCAGTGTCTGGTAGACTTGGCCTTTCCTCACCTCTGCTGCAGCCAAGTGTTTCCACAGCATTTCACAATAGCAGAAGTGAGCATGTGGCACAAACTACATCACCTTGCTGACCCCCATTTTTCTTTTTTTTTTTTTTGTTAAACTGGCTTAGCTCTCTGCATTGAATCATTGATCCAGCCACAGTGATCACTAACGTCAGCACAGAGGAAAGAGAAAACTGCTCCCCTCTGCAGAAACACAAACTTAGTGGCATACACCCTGAGCAAACCTGTACATGCAGTGCCCTTCTTCCTAAGACTTTGGAAATGGCATGTAATCTCATATGCACCTTCCCAAATCCTACACTGCACACGTGCAAGGCTGGCGCTGATTCCCAGGGCACACAAAAATTCTTACATGCACACACCCATCCCTACAGCACGGACACACCTACACCCACTAGAGGTGCTGCACTTATACGTGTGAGTGCCTGCAGTCTGCACCCAGCCAACAGCTCCTGAGAAGGGGCAGGGAGCAGAAGGGTCTGGATGGGCAAACAAGAGCTTATACCAGGGAGAAGATGGGAGCAGGCACAGCGAATAGTGGGACAAACTTGTAAAAACACAGTAACAACAACACAACCCACAGAACATGGAAACTCTAGTATAATTTTACAGGCATGCAATGCCATTGTATTTTGTGAATGAGCTAATCAGGAATGGATTACCCACATGAAACATGGATATAAACACAGCTGACTTAGTAGCTACTCAGGGACCTGAAACAGCATTTTTGCATATGGTGGGTGGAGAAGACAACTTTGCTTAACCTTGCTTTCTAGAAACTAAATACATAATTTATAGTAAAAATAATTTTATTCAAAAATACCTATTGTAGATTCTGAGCTGATCTGAGATGCTTTCATTTGGAAATTCAAAGGAAATCTGCACCTGAATACACAAACAAGAAAGCATGAACTTTGAGGGAGATACCCTGCTATGAATATATAGAAAATTGTTAGACAAGCAGAGAAAGGATTAGGATAAAAATGGAATTAACATCCACTATTTTTGGCTTAGCTTCAGATAGCTTATGAGGGGATCTAGGCTGCCTTCACTAATTCCACTGAACCACTTTAAAGCAACAAATATGTATTTTGCTATGACTTATGATTAAAGTTGCGACCTACTTATACAACAGTAAATTTAGTCTTAGAATATAAAATATAATGTATATTATCAATTGAAATAAATTACCTGGTAAACTACCTATGATTCAAAAATTCTTCAGTATTTTTACACTGTATACATGTACTTTAAATTACTATTTTGACAACAAACAAGTGGATATAAAGTGGAATAATTCCTTAGACTCATGTCAATAAGGAGAGCAAGCTTTCATATAATATATAATACCACCTGATATTTCAGCATAATCACATTTAGCTAGT